GAAGTCATAAGTTCCCCATTTAATTACATAACTATTGTAGAGATTGAAAGATGATTAATTGATGGAATTTTGTTGGTTGGTGTGGATGGATGGTCATATATGTAATGTTGGAAGTTATAGATTGGGTAATCATGATGGTGGGATAAATTTTTGATGAATGGTGGTAGTTGGATGAACTAATTATATGGCGATGAGATGTAGAGATTTACGCCTACAAGGTATTTGATAATATGCCTAAATGGCTTAAGTTATGGAATTTGTTACTAATATTGGTTCCATTGGATGTTGCTATCGTAAATTGAAGTTTTTTTACTGTTGTGGATCATTGTAGTATCACTAAGGGGCGAAATTCAGGTATGTGAAGCTAACTCTCTATGTTTGAGAATGTTAATGATTCTCCCTACACTACGTTTCTTTTATGATGTTACTAATTGCCTCAGAAATATAGTTAAGCCTAGTTCCTTGAATAGTTGTACTATTTTCATCACAAAATTCAGCAAACTTAGCATTTTCAAATTCAGTTCCATGATCGGGCCTAATTGATGCAAGTTGATTACCTAGTTGTTTCTGAGTTTTTCTAACAAAAGAAGTAAACATGTCAAATGCTTCATCTTTAGATGTTAAAAACAATGTCCAAGTAAACCTAGAGTAATCATCAACAAGCACCATCACATATATTTTGCCACCTCCGCTTAATGATCTCATTGGACCACAGAGATCCATATAGACCAGTTCCATTGTTCTGGTGGTGCTTACCACTTTCTTGCATTTAAAAGAGGATCTTACATGCTTCCCCCTTGCACAAGCCTCACAAACTTTGTCTTCCTTGAACTTGATGTTAGGCAGACCTATCACCAGATACTTGGAGACTAATTTGTTGAGCTGACTCAGACTTGCATGTCCAAGTCTCTTGTGCCAAAGGAGGGGATCATTGTCCAACAGACTTAAGCAAGTGAGTTCATTTCTGAAAGTGTGGACAAATCTACAATGTATGTTTTGTTTACTCTTTTTTCCTGCAAAATAATCTTGTCAGTGGTAAGATTAATCACAAAATATTTGGTAGAGGTGAATGCTACCAAGTTACCTCTATCACACAATTGTGATTGTCTTATTAGGCTGTATTTTAGGCCATCTATCAACTAGTCATTCTCAATAGAGTGAGAATCAGTCTTACCTACCTTTCCAACCCCAATGATCTCACCTTTCTTCCCATTTCCAAAGTAGACATTACCTCCTTTGAGGTCCTCAAGTGAAAGGAACTTGTTCTTGCTCCCTGTCATATGCTTTGAGCAGCCACTATCCATGTACCATATTTGGCTGCTCCCCTTCACTTGGACCCACAAAAGGAAATCAGGGGTTGATAACAACTAGGTCGGGAATCCAAACTAGAGGAAGAATTTGAGAAGTAAATGCGGAAGCAATAACAACAAGGAATTGAACAACTAGAACTAAAGAGATGAAAATAAAGGGTATGGGAAAATTCAAGGAAAGAATTCCAGGAACTTCCAAGAACGCAAGTTCTATAGTCTTGACAAGATCAAAGTAACAACGTCTTGATTTATGGAAGAAATCAAACGCCTTTACTTAAAAAGTAAATCAAAATAATAGATTCAGATCTTGACCGCTTTACGAGTAACTTGAGACAACAATTAATAACTAGTATTAATCGCCTTCTAAGAATACCACAAAGGAATCAAAGATATCATAAAAGAGAAGTATGTTACTACCTTGAACTATGAACTAGTAAAGGTTGAAAGATAAATCTCAAAGCACAAGTAACAAAGGTTCAACAGAACTCTCAAAGTATGATATACTTAATCAATAATGTTGTGTCTTATGAATGACAAGAGCTCCCTATTTATAGTTGTACAAAGGCATAAAAATTCCTTTAAAAATTAGCTAGGGTGGTTGTTATGGCATACAAAATCATTACAATTAGGTAGGGTGGTTGTTATGGCAAACAAAATCATTACAATTAGGTAGGGTGGTTGCTAAAGAGTATGAAAAGTCAGAAAAATTAGGTGGGTGGGCGGCCAAGACCCTTTGGGGCATATTTGGGCCTTACAGTAACTAGTTTGGGCCATTGGTTTGGACTCCAATTGGGCTCCTTTTATAACACCTCCTTTTGGACCTCTTTTAAGCTCATTTTGAGCTCATTTGGTGGACTTCAAGAACTGATTTGGGTGACCCAATCTTCCTCCTCTTGGACTTCAATTTGAGCAACCAAATAATTGTAAAACTTAGACAATTCTTCTCCTTTGGGCTTGAGCACTTCTTCTATAGTTAGAAGCTTCTTTATTTGCCATTGAAATCCAGCAACCTTAGTCTGCAATTCTTTAGCTTGAGATCTTGTAAATGGCCTTCTTGGAGCTTCCAGAACTCTATCCTTATCAGTGATGCTATCATTCCCCTCTTCTTGAAAAGAATTCGTCCCCGAATTCGATCCTACATCAAACAAAGACATGTCAGCAACATTGAATGTAGCACTTACTTGAAAGTCACCAGGAAGGTCCAGCTTGTAAGCATTGTCTCCAATCCTTTCAAAGACTTGAAAGGGGCCATCTCCTCTAGGATGCAGCTTTGAGTTCCTTTTGGAAGGAAATCTCTCCTTTCTAAAGTGAACCCAAACTAATCCAGGTTTAAAAATAACTTGTTTTCGACCCTTATTCTTTCTCAAGGCAGTTTGCTTATTTTTCTTCTCAATTGCAAGCCTTGTTTGCTCATGAATTTTTTTCATCATCTCAGCCTTTGTCCTACCATCAAGATTAGCAATATCACTAGTAGGTAATGGTAATAAATCAAGTGGAGTAAAGGGATTAAAGCTATAAACAACCTCAAAAGGAGACATACCCGTAGAAGATTGGATTTTTCTATTGTAAGCAAATTCAATCATAGGTAAGTGATCTTCCCATGAAGTTAATTTACCTTTCAAAACAGCCCTCAACATGTTTGCTAAGGTTTTATTAACTACTTCAGTTTGTCCGTCAGTTTGTGGGTGACAAGAAGTAGAAAACAACAATTTAGTGCCTAACTTCCCCCAAAATACACGCCAAAAGTGACTCAAAAACTTAGCATCCCTATCACTAACAATAGTTCTAGGTATACCATGAAATTTGACAACCTCTTTTACAAAAAGATCAGCAACATGTGAAGCATCATTAGTCTTTGAACAAGGAATAAAATGAGCCATTTTGGAGAACCTATCTACCACAACAAATATACTATCCTTACCATACCTTGTTCTAGGCAAACCTAACACAAAGTCCATAGAAATGTCAATCGAATGTGAAGTACGAACAGGTAATGGCGTGTAAAGACCATGTGGTAACACTTTAGATTTAGCTTGTTTACATTCCAAACACCGTGCGCACATTCTTTTAACATCTTTTCTCATTCCAGGCCAAAAGAAATTTCCAGCCAGTATGTCTAGTGTCTTTGGGACTCCAAAATGTCCCATAAGCCCTTCACAATGTGGTTCCCTTACAAATACTTCACTTAAAGAGCAATTACGAATATACAACTTATTGTCCTTAAAGATACACCCATCTTGGAGGTTAAACCTATCAAAAGGACCCAACTTACAATCTGCAAAAGTTTTGCCAAAATCAATATCATTAGCATAAAGTTCCTTGATTTGATCAAAACCTATCAATTTAGAAGTCAGCGTAGAAACTAAGACCTACCTTCTTGAAAGTGCATCAGCAACAACATTCTCTTTCCCTTGTTTGTAAGAAATTACATAAGGAAAAGTTTCAATGAATTCAACCCACTTAGCATGCCTTCTACTAAGCTTACCTTGACTCTTCAAGTATTTCAAGGATCCATGGTCAGTTTTAATGACAAACTCTCTTGGCCACAAGTAATGTTGCCATGTGGCTAAAGCCCTTACCAAAGCATATAGCTCTTTGTTATAAGTGGAATAGTTCAATGTGGCTCCACTCAACTTCTCACTAAAGTAGGCGATAGGTTTAGAACCTTGCATCAAAACAGCACTTATTCCTTTGCCAGAAGCATCACATTCAATTTCAAAAGATTTAGAAAAATCAGGCAATTGTAACAACGGAGCAGAACATAACATTTCTTTCAACAAGTTAAAAAGCATCATCTTGTTCTTTTCCCCATTTAAAAATCTTATCCTTTTTAATAACTTCAGTTAAAGGAGAAGCAATGGTGCTAAAGTCTCTCACAAACCTCCTATAAAAACTAGCAAGTCCATGAAAACTCCTAACGTCAGTTACATTCTTATGTTTAGGACATTCTTTTATTGCTTTGATTTTCTCTTCATCCACCTCAACTCCTTTAGAACTAACTACAAAACCCAAGAAAATCACACGATCCACATAAAAAGTACACTTTTTAAGATTAGCAAATAAAAATTGCTTTCTAAGAACTTCAAAAACTTGTTTTAGGTGTTCTACATGCTCTTCTAAAGTGTTAGAAAAGACCAAGATATCATCGAAGTACACCACAACAAATTTTCCATGAAAATCCTTAAAAACATGATTCATTAATCTCATGAAGGTGCTAGGTGCATTAGTCAAGCCGAAAGGCATAACTAACCACTCATAAAGCCCATATGTGGTCTTAAAAGCAGTTTTCCATTCATCTCCAGGATTCATTCGAATCTGATGGTAACCACTTTTTAGATCAATTTTAGAAAAGATTTTGGAACCATGCAATTGATCCAACATGTCATCAAGACGAGGAATAGGATGACGATACTTTACCGTAATCTTGTTGATTACTCTACAATCCACGCACATCCTCCAAGTTCCATCCTTTTTGGGTACCAATAGGACGGGAACAGAGCAAGGGCTCATGCTCTCTCTCACAAAGCCTTTATCAAGCAACTCCTCAACTTGACTTTGAAGTTCTTGGTCTCTTCTGGATTACTCCTATAGGCTGGCCTATTTGGGATTTATAATCCAGGCACAAAATCAATTTGATGCTCAATGCCACGTAAAGATGGCAATCCATTAGGAATATCTGGAAAGACATCTTCAAAATCCTGCAAAAAAAGTGAATTGCTAAAAACAAAAAAAAACATCCAAAACAGAAATCTCTCTAAAACTCTCCTCCTCCTCTCTAGGAAGAAGGTGAATAGTCACTTTTCATGATCCATAACTCCGGAATCCGGCGGTGGATTGTCGCAAATTTGGTATCAAAAGAAGCATCTACTCTTTGCGCACAATCCCCAATTGGTTTCATCCTCAAATCCATAGCCAATTTTTCCAGATCTTAAATTTTATTTCGCAAAATTACTTTAGCACGCACATTTTTTCCAGAAAATATTAACGCTACTGCTTTCTTTGGAATTGTTATGGTTATTCTATGATAATGGAGTGTTGAAGAACTCTATGGAAGCATCGACCTCTCCCCAGCTTTTGGCTGTGGGAGAGAGGAATCCAAATCATAGCGACCATATTCCAAACATCAAGACCCAACAAACGTATGCCTCTCATCTGATTACAAATCATTCTGCCACAAATTCTACAAAACTTATTTTAAAACCGGTCCAAATTGTCCATGGAGAACCAACAATACAATTCACAATGGAGGAAAGACAAAGATTTGCTGTGGAGGAGGGACTTCACCAAGCAGTTGTCGTCAAATTATCGCAGCGATCTCCAGCTTTGCAAGATTTGCGTAATTTACTGCCTAAGGTTCTGGGAATTAAAGGCCATTGTTTGGTTGGTCAACTTGATCCGAAACAGTTGTTAATCAGGTTAGATCAACATGATGACTTAGTTACTGCTCTTGCAAGAGCAGTTAACTACTTTCCCTACAAAGGAGAAGAGCATCAATATCGTATTTTTCCTTGGACAATTGGTTTCAATCCTAATGAAGAAACGACTATGGCTGTTGTGTGGATTCCATTGCCAAACTTATCTCCAGAATTGTTTGCTAGAAAGTCTTTATTATCTATTGCGTCGGCAGTTGGAAAGCCAATCGCTATTGACAAAGCAACACAAGTGAAATCTAGACCTAGCACTGCTAGGGTCAGAGTTATAGTTGATCTAGTTGCTAAGCTGCCACAACGTGTTAGATTACAGTATGTTGACAATGAATCTGGTAAGGTTGTTGAGGTTTTTCAAGAAGTTGTCTATGACAATCTTCCAGGATACTGCAATATCTGTAAGCACCAAGGACATGTCGAATCGGCATGTCGCGTTCTTAAAAAGAAGAATATCATGGTAGCAGTAGCTCAGATTGAAGAAGATCAGCCTCGTCAAGAACAAATTGGTGGTGCGAAATACAAGGGAGATTTGCATCAGTTTTTGAATGAGAGGAGGGCCTTGAATGATGGTGATCGAACTACTGGAGATCACATTAATCCTACAGATGCTACACAGGTTTTAAGCGCTCCTCAAGGGGCTCATGAACACGCTGAAAATTTGATCAAGACACCACATGTAGCAGCTGTTTCTACTACTGCTTTGGTTCCTGTTGAAGCTCTTGCTAATGTTTCTCATAATGTAGCTGTAGCTGGGCAGAGTAATTCACGTCCAGTCTCAATGGATGCTACTGGTGATCGAAATAGCATGGAAAAAATAGCAGCTGGACAGTCGCGTAGGGAAACTAGTACAGAGTTTAAAGGAACAGGTGTAAATATTGAAGCTGTGTCTACTGCTGCTGCAATTCCAATTGGTGCTGGGCAGAATGTTGAGAATAAAAATCATGCAGGAGGTGATACAATTTTGAAGGACATACCTGCTACTACAGTTATGGCAAGGATGTACTCAGCTTTGGGCACAACTACACAAATGGAGAATGGTACTGTTGGTGAGGGAAGTAGGGCACGGGAAGGTGTTGTAGAACAGCATGATTTGGTTACACTGCCAGGGCATGATAAAGGTTTTGAATTTTCACCAACTGGTGTAGGTGCAATTTTGGAGGCTACTACTGCATTGCAAACAACTGGTGCTCGACCTGTTGCACCTGTAGAACCAGTGGAGAAATTAGCAGTAGCAGGTGCACATTTTGGTACAGCGACCAATGTTAAATCAGTGGTACAAGCAGCTAGTTTTGATGTTGCTGGAGATATTGAATTAGATGTTGAACGTTTTGGGCAAACTCCTATTGAACAAAGAAAAGCCAATGATCAACAGGTTATTAAATTAATTCCTCAACGTAATAATGCTAACAGGAAAGAACAGGAAATTGACAAAGGAGATGATGTTACTGAAATTCTTGGCAAACGAGATACTAGGGAAGTAGGTGGAACATCTGCCAACAAGAACAATACTGATATGTTGGAAGCAGGACCTCAACATGGACAACAATCACTTGCCAAGGGCTGGTCTAACGGTAAGGAGTTGGAACTGGCAGACTGTGTGTCAAATTCTGAAAAAATCAGCTCTCCAAGGCACAATGTGTTGCCACAACTGATGAAACAGCAGCAGTTCTCTAGTGCTAGCACAACAAGAACACAAAGAAACCAAAACCAAATTTGTCCAGCAAGTTCAGCAATTGGGAGATGTGCAGATATGATTACAACCAGATGCTCAAACAAGGAAATTATTCCAGTTGTGGAGGAACTAACGGGCACTCCTACGATTCTTTTTTCCAGTCCACAAGTGGAGAAAATTATCAAAGAATCACAAATTGAAATGATGATGTATCCCAATCCTATATTCAAGCAACCATTGGTAACCTTGAACACATCGGCGTATGACATTCCTTCTCAATCGTGCGAGTCACTTGGTGAACATAGGGATGAATCTGGGCAACCCATACTGTCCACTGGCAATAACAACGAAATAATACAAGCTAATGTGAGGGACATGATCAGTGAATCAAAGTTATTGGAACACCAACGAGAGGAGGATGATGATGAGGAGAACTATGCTGGGAATTCGAGTGACGATGATGCAGGGGCGAAGCCCCCCTATGGTTAGGGTGGTCAATTGACCACCCTTCATCGAAAAATTACTCTGCCTATTTAGGTAAAATATTACGTTTTAGAGGTACATAACATATACTGAACACCCTTTGTCGGTTTTTTTTTTTTAACTTATTTCAAGTTTGAACACCCTTAAGGAAAATCCTGGCTTCGCCACTGCGATGATGATCAAGATAGCGAAGAAGAGGGTGTGCTTTCAGTTGGCTCACCACCATTGCAAAAAACTGGCAGCTCTCCTATGTTATGTTCCAGCAGCAAACTTAATGCAAAAGCCCCCGTTTTTTTGACTAAATCTGGGCAGCAACATTTGGGAACAAGCACAACAGGTGTAGGTCGGATGAAAAATGGAGTACACAGTAGGCCTGGGCAGCAGCAGACTATTAGAAGCACACCACCTGCCACTCTAATGGAGAATCAAATTGCAGCAACACCTTCAGCTTTTGGACAGCAGCAACACATTGCAAGCTCTTCAAATGTTTTAACATCAAATGCTGAACAACAGAAGCAAAGTGCAAGTAATTCAACTGCCTTACTAGTGAATTCAAATGATGCAAAGAGGCAGCAGGACTTAAACGCTCCAGCAGCATTGACAACTACTGGACAGCAGCAGCGAAAAGATACAAATGTAACTGAAGGAACCTCGAGTGTAGTGCTAGCCGCAAATCAATCTGGGCAGCAGCAGCCTGATCCAAACAGCTCACCTGCTATCCATACGTATGGTCGAAATCCTACTGTTGGTAGCACTGGACGCATGAGTAGAAGCAGAAACAAAATGAAGATCACAGAACAACAAAAAAGCAAGGCAATCATGGTTAACTCTCAGGATGGAAATACTTTGGTGACACAAGCTTATGCTCAAGCCACTCCAAATCAAGCTGTTATTCCTACAGGTGATCGAGAAATCACAGCACCAACATCTGGACAGAAGCAAATTGCTACATCCATTCAAGTTATGTCACATGATGAGAGAATGTTTTGGAGGCAATGCTGAGCTCTAATGCTCCACAATCTGTGAATTTGGGGATAGACCTAAATTTAGCAGGAGAAGATGATCCAATTTTTCAATACTGCAGGGGAGTGGATTTATCACCTTCGCGCATCGGACCAAATCACAACATTCGTACAAGAGAGAAAAGCTGGGACGGCAAGGTGAGTGAGGAAGGAATTGCTAGGCGACTTCCAATGAGAGTTGCCAAACAAAAGCAGGCTGCCGCAACTACTTCTACGAGGTCCAACCGTTCAAAAAGGAAATGATGATTTTTGAATACATTTTGCAAACGGTTGAGGAAAACGACAAAGAATTACAAATTGAAGATTTTACAAGTTTGGAAAAGAAGGGACAAGAATCAAATTCATACTACATTTTATTTTACCACTTTCTTAGTATCCTCATCTGTAATATCATCACAGAGTATGTTATAAACTCTGTGATGATCATAGAATATTTGGTCCTTTCAAGTTCATATTTTTTACATGCTTGTTAGTAGGCGAGGCTTTTGTATGCCTCACTAGGATTAGTAAGGTAAGGTTTAACCCAGTTTATGTTGCCTTAGCCCTATGCCTTTGGAAATTATCCAAATGGCTATTAGATTATATGCCCTCGTGAGACATTGCCGGCAGCTACTACATGAATCCTCTACATGAGGCTGCCTTCATAAAGCAGTGTGAGGCGCAGAGGAGTGATTATATAGCCGAGGCATATAGGTAACAATACTGGTGCTATTGTCCCCCCTTATTTGTACTTTTCCTATGTGTTGTATTTTCCTTTTATTATTAATAAAAAACTAACCCTAGGCGCTTGCCTAGCGGATTGCCAAAAAAAAAAATCCTGCATAAGAGAAGAAATACTACTTGGCAAAGAAGAAGTTAGCAACTCAGATTAATCAAAGTCTCTTTGTAAGTAAGTAGTATTATGGGCAGCCCCTCTTTTCTTACATTTAAACACTTTTTGGCTTTTATATAGAAACTCTCTTCTTTTTTCTTTCCTTAGCCTCTTTCCTCTTACCAAGACTGTTTATTTTTTCATTTGAACCCCCTTTTATCTCTTCTCTCAAATTGTTGCCCCCTCTCTCTTTCTCTCGGCCATCTTTTTTTTTTTCTAATTCTTCGCCTTCTTTCTTTTCTTTTTCCTCAAGCTCACTTTTTATCCCTCTCCTTCGTTTTCCTTTTATTTCCCTTAATCTCTTTTGATCTCCAAACACTTGAGAAGGAGATAAAGGTGGAAGAGTAAATTTCCTGCCATTTAGTTCAAGAGAATATCTATTCTTTCTCCCATCATGAAAAACATTCATGTCATACTGCCAAGGACGACCCGGTAATATATGACAAGCTTGCATTGGTACTATATCACAAAGAATATCATCCTCATATCTACCAACATTAAAGGAAATCATACACTGTTTGTTTACCTTTAGTTCACCACTATCATTTAACCATTGGAGTCTATAGGGAGTAGGGTGTTTCATGCATGCAAGTCTCAGTTTTTCCACAAAGTATGAACTCACCACATTAGCACAACTACTACTATCAATGATCATAGAGCAAGTTTTTCCCTTTATCCCACACCTAGTATGGAATATATTTTCTCTTTGTGTTTCACTATTGCTTCCCAAATTGATAGTCATAATCCTCCTAACTACCCCAACCATGCCATCATTAGGTAGTTCTACATCATCTTCATCACTCATATCTCCCTTTTCTTCTTGTCCCTCACTTTTTTCACTCTCATATCCCCCCTCCTCTCTAAGAATGATGTTTCTTCTACTTGGACATTCATGCATCATATGTCCCCTTCCTTTTACATTTATGACATTGAATAGAACTAGAAGGTGTAAAAGGTTTAGGGTTAAAGGTTTTACCTCCCTCTTTGTTCTCAAATTTACCTTTTCCCTTGTCTTCTTGAGGTCTAGAAGAACTCTTCATCGCATGATTTGGCCATGGCTTTTTGGACATGGTGCTTGTCCGACCTTTCCACGAGCTAGTTTGCTTTCTTTTATTTTGATTTTCTACCATTATAGACAAATAAACTAACTCATCTATTGTTACATATTGTTGTAATTCTACTATATCAGCTATTCCTTATTTAAACCATTTAAAAATCTAGCCATTGTAACCTCTTCTTCCTCCATACAATTAGCTTGGATCATAGCCATATCCATAGCCTTAAAGTACTCATCCACAGACATAGACCCTTGCTTCAATGTTTGAAGACGTTGTTGTAGCTCTCTTTGAAAGTGTGATGGTACGAATCTCTTCCTCATCACCCTCTTCATCTCAGCCCAAGTAGCAATATGTGCTTGTCCTTCTTGCAATCCGTCCCTAGTAAGCTTTTTCCACCAAATAGCAGCATAGTCCGAAAACTCAACAACAGCAAGTTTAACCTTCTTACCTTCAGAGTAGTTGTGACAATCAAAGATGGCTTCAACCTTTCTCTCCCAATCAAGATACAAGTCTAGATCCCTTGTTCCCTTGAAAGATGGCATCTTCATCTTTATACTACTTATATTATCATCTTCTACTCTACCTCTTTGTCCCCTCCTATCTCTTCCCACTCTATCAAAATCAATATCATTAAAATCATCTATAAGGTTTTCTTGATTTACAATGGGAGCATGGGGTACATTTCTCCTAGCTTGGGGCCTAACATTATTTTCTCTCCTAAGTTCAGCTATTGTATCATTTTGATCAGCAATGGTATCCATCATTTCTTGGAGTTGCAAATTCAACCTTTCAAATTGTTGATGCATAGCTTGCAAGGTAAAATCATTTCTTGCTTTGATTTCGGCTTCTTAGAGAACCCTTCGTTCATCATCACTACCTGTATGTGACATCTTTAAAAAAAAAAAACTGTATCACACAAATTAGCTTCCTTTTTTTTCTCTCTCGGAATAACCTTTGAACAAAATACTTTGTAGATTTATAGTTAAACCCAACTTGTCGAAGTTCTTAGTAGTAAAATTCAGATTTTTTTTTTGGAAAAAAAAGAACCAAATCCTAGAACTTTTAGGCTCGGTTGAAACAAGACACGAACAAAAGAAAGGATTATATATTTAGATTAGAAAGAGTAAGAAAATCTAGGATCTCCTCTTCTTGTTTCCTTTGTTAATTTTTGGAAACAAATTAGATACAAAAGAAATATCCTGGAGAGCAATCAATTGTATATATATATTTTTTTTAAACTGATTTTCGTTTTTTTTTTTTTTTTTTTTTTGCTCTTAGTATTCAAGATATCCCAAGAATTATCAAGAACGAAATCTTGATAGAATCGCTCTGATACCACTTGATAACAACTAGGTCGGGAATCCAAACTAGAGGAAGAATTTGAGAAGTAGTGGAAGCAATAACGACAAGGAATTGAACAACTAGAATTAAAGAGATGAAAATAAAGGATATGGGAAAATTCAAGGAAAGAATTCCAAGAACTTCCAAGAACGCAAGTTCTATAGTCTTGACAAAATCAAAGTAACAACGTCTTGATTTATGAAAGAAATCAAACGCCTTTACTTAAAAAGCAAATCAAAACATAGATTCGGATCTTGATCGCTTTACGAGTAACTTGAGACAACAATTAATAACTAGTATTAATCGCCTTCTAAGAATACCACAAAGCAATCAAAGATATCATAAAAGAGAAGTAATCTTACTACCTTGAACTATGAACTAGTAAAGGTTGAAAGATAAATCTCAAAGCACAAGTAACAAAGGTTCAAAAGAACTCTCAAAGTATGATATACATAATCAATAATGTTGTGTCTTATAAATGAGAAGAGCTCCCTATTTATAGGAGTACAAAGGCATAAATATTCCATTAAAAATTAGCTAGGGTGGTGGTTATGGCATACAAAATCATTACAATTAGGTAGGGTGGTTGTTATGGCAAACAAAATCATTACAATTAGGTAGGGTGGTTGCTAAAGAGTAAGAAAAGTCATAAAAGTTAGGTGGGGGCGGCCAAGACCCTTTGGGGCATATTTGGGCCTTAATACAACTAGTTTGGGCCATTGGTTTGGACTCCAATTGGGCTCCTTTTGTAACACCTTCTTTTGGACCTCTTTTAAGCTCATTTTGAGCCCATTTGGTGGACTTCAAGGACTGATTTAGGTGACCCAATCTTCCTCCTCTTGGACTTCAATTTGAGCAACCAAATAATTGTAGAACTTAGACAATTCTTCTCCTTTGGGCTTGAGCACTTCCTCTATAGTTAGAAGCTTCTTTATTTGTCATCAAAATCCAGCAACCTTAGTCTGCAATTCTTTAGCTTGAGATCTTGTAAATGGCCTTCTTGGAGCTTCCAAAACTCTATCCTTATTAGTGATGATATCACGGGTTCGTCTTAGGAACCCAAAATAGTTTGGGTCCCTTTCTATAGGCAAAAGGGTGAATCAGATTCCTTTTAGCCCAACCTGGCAGCCTATTTTTCCCTTGAACAAATTATTTATTCTCTTGACTAGCCTTTCTTTTGCAATACATTCAGATTTATAGTGACAAGTTTTACTACAGTATGTGCAAATTATGTTCTCAGGAAGTGTGAGGTACTTGCTTTTGGGATCCCACTTAGGTGCAGGGGTCCCGTAGCCAAGTCCTCTCTTATTGCTACCGTGGTGTTCATGTAGCCATGAAAGTGCATCGAAAGCCTTGTTCCATTTACAAGTTCTGTCTAGTTCATGTTTTACCTTCCCTAGATCTTCTTTTAAGACTTTTATCAACTCATCCTTCCTGTACAACTCATCCTTTATTTTTCCTAAGTTTTCTTCTAGAGTGAGATGCGTGTGATCAACTTTCTTTTTACCTGTTCCTAATTTCAGTTTTAGATTTTCAGATCTTAGCTCTAGGACAGTGGTTTCAAGTTCATGAACCTGGTTCTTTAACTTAGCTTTTTTACTATCTCTTTCACTAGCCCTAAGTTCCAGATTTTTGCACTTAGCTTTCAAAATCACATACTCCTTAGACAGGTGTTCCTTTTCATTGTTTAGATCCTCAGATTCATCAATGAAATCCAAAAGTAACTCAGATAGCCTTTCTTTAGATAAAAATTTAATCTTGTCTTTGAGATGATTTATACTTACCTCAGATTCCTCATCGGATTCTCCAATTGCCATAAGTGCTTGTTCATCTCCATCTTCATCCTCTGAGTCCTCATCTGAGCTTTCTCCCCAGGCAGCAACCATAGCCTTTGTTGATCCTTTGTACTTTTTGGGTTGAACCTGTTCCTTCTTCGTGCTCCTTCGTTCAGCTCTTTCCTTCTTCTATTCAATTTCCCATTAAGGGTAGTTTTTGATGTGGTGATCAGTCTTCCCACACTTGTAACAACCCTCATTGGTTTGTTTTTCAGGAATCCTTGGTTTGCTGTAGCTTCCACTTCTTAAAGGACCATTTCCTCTCATTAGGTACTTCTTGAAGTCCTTTGTGATCATGGTCATTTCATCCTCCTCTAGATCAGCACCTTCAGTGATTCTGAATGCAAGGCTCCCTTCCTTCTTGGGTGCATCCATCTTCATGGTTCGCCTTCTAAGTTCATAGGCTGTGAGATTTCCAATTAGCTCGTCCAACTTAAGAGTGGCAATGTTCTTTGATTCCTGAATGACAATGATTTTGCTTTCCCAAGTGACTGGCAGAACCCTTGTCAATATTTTCTCAACTTTGTCCTCTTCAAGAATAACCCTTCCAAGAGACTTAAGTTCATTTGTTAGTGTGGTGAACCTTGTATACATCTC